CCCCAAAACCCCAAAACCCCAAAACCCCATTAAACATTATATTATTTCTAGGAATTTTATAGATAATTAAATTAAAATTGTATGATATTTAGCAGGACTTTTATAATAATCTTAAGCTAATGATTAACCATCATTCCTTCTCTAGACCTGATTGCCTTAATTTATTCATTGATTAGAATGTGAAAAACTACTAATCTATTCATTTTTAGATTCATTATTTAGCCTTTGTCTCATGAACTAAAGTCTGTTTTAGAAGTGTTAAAACTTGTAGTTTTTCTTGTATATAAATAAATCTTAGTCGTAATTTTTAGAGTCAAAGCTAAGCCTATCAAGTACCCTAAACGTCGATAAGTTTTTATAATTTTCTTTAACCATCTATAATTCCATATTTTTCTTTTATTACGAATAAGCCATTGCAAACTAATTTTGATCCTCCCTCACTATTTTAGAGATTGGGGAAAGAATACCTTCTTGAATGGTCTCATAAGTAACATTCTAAACACTAATATACTTAGATTAACATCCTATTGATTTTGAGATTGCTGTATTAACTTTGTATAAATTTCCAAGAAGTTTGTTGTCCCTATTCAAAATTTCAATCTTCCTCTCTAGCTACTTACTAACATATTTACCTAAGCCTAAATCATGATTAAGATCCTAAGTCAAAAGCCTGTTCTTAAGTAAACTATAATCATTCACAGATATACTTGGAGATTGAAAGTCTTTCTTCTTCTTTGGATCTTTAATCTTCGCTAACACCTTCCTGGTTTAAACCAGATTTAGGAATTATTCGAATTCTCTTAGTGAAATATCAAGACCTGATTTATCAGGTGGCTTATTCACAGTATCAAAATCAACACTTTATATCGTTTTAATCTTGAATCTCTTGTTGTTTTCTACTCTAAGTTTCCTCTCCTTTTTCTTGCTCTCATCTTAGAATTCTGTCTCTAGTATATCAAATCTTGGGAGTTAATCATGGGTTTATATCTTGGGATCAGGAAGGACACAGACCTTATTTTACCTTAAAATATCATACATCTGCTTGTTTCTCTTTGCTCTGTCCTCAGCTAAGTGCAATTTTTCTTAGAATTTCGCATCATTCTGCAGGTATATTTTATTTTTATTCCTGAAATGATTATCATGAAAGTTAATTGATTCGTCTATTTTCCTATGGACATAGGACAAACTCTAGTTCTCATAATCACTTTATCTAGAATCTAAGGATGATGAATATGAATCATCATCGTCATCCTATCTAATTTTCCTTATTTTTTTCCCTCTATTTGCTCTTAGGACGATATTTTTTAATCTTCTCAATGGAATATTAATCAAACTTTTCCTCATTTAAGGTATTATCTAGGGATTCAACGAATTTGAACTTGTTTGCTTAGATTCTGGTATTTTAGTAAATTATCTATGATAAGTCTTAATTGCGTTACGAGGAGAGTTCTCAATAGTTCTGGGGTTGGTAGAAAACTTAGATCTAGCGTTTGGAGTAGGCTCCCTAGATTCCCCTGGTGATATATTGGATATAGAGTTAGAAGGGGTAATTTCCACCTGAGTTATTGAGTCAGGTATATTTATTCTGACTTTTGCTTGATTTGAACGTCTATCCATTAAAATACAAAAATAAAAGTTTTAAATAAGTCTCTGACCTAATTAAATCAATTTAATGGATCAATATAACTCTTCGTAAATTGAATAATTGATGAAAGCGGGGTTTTGGGGTTTTGGGGTTTTGGGG